TAACTAACAACATGAGCTATACATACACAGTCTCTTCTTTCTTTCCTGAAAAAATGAACACAATTGGACTAGTATTTTCCAAGATATAGCGATTTCTTTGGGTTGCGTTTTTTTTTGAACACCCTGTATTTTGATTTCGACTTATTCGTAATGTACGAGATTGATGTTTCTTTGGTTTACGAAAAGACCTCTTATTATTCAAGTCAAATCCATGTCGGACAAGTGTATATCTAAATTTTGTATCCATTTGGTTAGTCGACCTTAAATTGATGTCATATTGATTTATCAGAGATCAGCTTCACATTTTCATGCCATCTGTCATTTCTGACTGGTTTACTATCTAATCTGTCATTAGGGCCATCGGTACACGCTTTGGGTTTTATCATTTACCGTCTTCAGGTCATTGATACTTCGGCATCCAAAAAGATTTCACTTAAATTGCAACTTAAAACGACACTAATACGAGTTAATGGAGATTGGGATCAATGTTTTATCATTATGTGGAAAAATTTGGGTTAATTGTTATACTCATTATCTATAACGTAGAAACAGATCCCCTCTGCTGCGTGGACCAATATCTCTATTTGACCATTGATTTGTGTGTTGAATATATATATGAGTCGACTTCCTAAGCTGATATTCTCTCCGTGGACAATAACATGATTTCTATCTTTAAAATGGTTATCTTTGATTTTTAAAATATGGGCACAACAAACAATGCGATCCTGGAAGTTGCTCAGTTTCTGATATTTAATAAATTATATGTGAACAACAAATTGTCTTTACTGTAATGAATCTGGCTCCAACACCAGTTGAAATGAATTGACATACTATCATAGCACAGACATATCATCAAATGAGGGTGTTGGTTTGCCAAATTATATACTTTGTTATGTTTTCTCTGTCTGGTATGACAGCTTTAGTTTCGGTTAGAACAATCGAGCTCTTAACTAACCAAAATGCGCTTTGTGACACCTTAATGAGTTCCTAACCTTTTTTTACCGAAGTTGCATTCATTTAATTCAACTCCGACAAATCTTGATCCATACAATTATTTCATGTAACTGAAGGAATATATTGTTTTAAACAGTAACTGTCTGGAGTTAGCAGGTTTTATGGATTAAGATCGGATTTGCGGATGGATATTGACCCTTTATGTGTTTATGAACTTGAGACTGAATTTTGTCTATCCCACATTATTTGAGACTGAATGCTCTATCTTGTACGAATACCAGTATCTACAACTATTTTGTGATGTTATGAGCATTGTTCATCAATCTATATCTATTCTTCAACATATGTTGCAATGGCTTCTGAAGGAATGAAATGTTCCTTGGTTTTTATGCTCCTGGTTTGTGATAATGGAACTTGTATGAGGGGGGCCGGGGCATTAAACATTGTTTCTTTTCACGTTAGATTCTGGTTTGGGACGGTTGGGGTTTGTTTTCCTTATGACTTGTGAACACTTAAACGTTTCCCTTTCTTGATGTGTTCTGTAATTTTTTGTTTTTTGTTCCTTTCCCTTTGGCACCTGTGCTTACATATTCATCTCGCTAATTTGAAAATCATATCTACAGACGTTTTTAGAAGATAATTGCAATGTCAGAGTAATAAGTCGCGATGTGATTAGCACATAAGGGAAATAATGTTAAAAATGATCATGTACACCAAAATATGAAAAAATATTTGTGTATCTAATGACATTTTATTTCCATATACCATTGTTTCACTGTTAATTATAATTGACCGTGACCAGGACCTGCTCCCTATAGGCCACACGGTGGCACATGTATATATACATCACCACCCAGTTGATTAAATCAGTGGGGATGGTTTTTATCTTCACCAATGAGAAACTTACACTATGTCATTAAGCACAGACAAGCAAATGTTTCAACATCTTGTTTCTGCTTGGACCAGGTTTGGTTTCTCATCCATTTATTGATGGCATAGAACCAACAAGTATTATTGTATTCTCATGCCATCTATATTCAAATCTAACTATGAAAATCAACTAGCGAGTCTTGTTTTAAAATGACATGTCAATTACAGATCGAATGTACCCTTTGTAATTGTTTGACTTGGCTTCTTATAAAACTAAACTAAACTCTCAGCGTGACACAAATGGAAACATTCATCCTAATAAGGGTCAGGATTCATATGGACAGCAATATTTTTTGTGTAGGTTGTTATTTCCACCTGAACCATTGATCCCCCGATCCTTGGCAAAAACTGGACACGGGCCTGGGATCCGTACCTGGCAGTGAAACGTTTAAAAGTTTTCTTTTTACATGATTCCAGGAGACGTGTCCAGAATCATAACGACCTTTGCACAAACGTGGGACAGCATCATATGCATAACAAAATCTAAGCGTTTGCGAACGAAATGGATAACTACAAATCATCAATTTCATTCCCCACTGATGTTACATAAACGGAATGGTCAAAGACGGTTAACATTGCACTTTTTAATCGTTCCGTGTGATATCGATTCTGAAACGTATGATACTGATACATGTTGTTATGCCAAACGGATTCTGACATCTCGTGAGGTTATGGGTCTCCCTCTAAATATAATTTATGAATTAACTTGTGCCTTGGTATTACTTTCCAAGACAGACAATAATAAATTGTTGACTTCCGATACGTAGTGTTATCAGACTCCAGGATAGAGTCTATTGTCAAAGGTTAAAATCTAGGTCAATTCTTATATTTTCAACATTTAGTCAATTATCTTGACATCAATTTTCAATATTTTTCTTGATCTTTTTTTTTTAAATGTAGCCAAGAAAAAGTCAACTCAACAATGGGCCATCCGTTTCTTGATTACTCTTACCGTTTTTGAGATATTTGACGTAAAAAAACGGTAAAATAGGCCATTTTTCAACTTGCTTCCATTTGACCGTTTTTTAAATTCAACTACAAAATCTCACGCATCTAAATCTGAAATCAGAATTGATATCCGACTTCCGGTTAAAATTCTATGTCATTTTAAAAATTTCGAAAAAATCGTTTTCTTGGTATCCACATAGAAAGTCAAGAGTAGTGACAAAAATATTGATAAATCTATCTATCTGTCTATCTATCTAACTGTCTATCCATTTTTCATTTATCTGTCTATTTATCTATTTATAAACTAAAAACAAATCTGACATCTGGAGTCTGAAATTGAACTTGTTCAATTTCCAATTTCTAGTTAATCTCCAAACCTGATATTTTTCCGCTTTAATGGTTTACAATTTACAAACCGTGTCATTGTACCAACAAGAAAACATTTGGTTAGTAATCAAAATGTCATTTGATGGATATGAATGGGGTGTCATATGAAATCCTATGAAGCCATACTTTCACATCATTTCAATGTAGAAAAGGAACTCCACAAGAACGGAATCACTTCTAAGATTTATATATGCAACATATATATAAGGATTCCACAAGGACGGAATGGCAACATGAGTGTACAATCGATCTGCTCTATCTGCCATTGCACCAGCTCAAACGTTTCTTAAAGACCTACTTCGTTTTTGGGCAAAATAAAGACTTACATTTGAATTTCAGAGAATGTCCAATGTATTGAGAAGAACCATATTTTTCATTTGATACCAACAACAGCTCAAACGGACAGCATAAAAGCTTACAATAAATTATCAAAAACTATTTTAATTTTATAATTTAGAACATGCACTTTGTTTAACCTGTGCATGAATGTCTAATGATCTCTGAACTTCAAATGCTTTTTCTATGCGATTTATTTTTTCTTGGTTCAATATACAATGGGCGATCCATATATTCTGATAAAAATGCTCTCATTTTGTGATTTTTTCACATATCCCTTTGATTTTTTCAGAACATGTAGGTTATGTAAATACACATACGATGCTAAAATATTTTAGCTGCATCTTAAATAGATTTTGAAATAAGGTTGCCATGGTAACCTGTATTTAGGGTAGGCAGGTCAGTTAAATTATAACGTCTAAAATAGATAAATATGTTAATTTAATCATTCCTCGGTACCTATTTTAAGCAGATCAAATGCATCTTCCAGTCATTGTCAACTATTCATTTATCTGTTCCATACCCCTGTTGCCCTTGTTTGATAATTTATACAGTGGGATACTATCTTTTCATAAGTAACATCTCAATTTATCGTAGTGTTATTCTTTGTCCGCAAGCTCTTCTTGCAAATCAGATTGCGGATGATCTTCAACAGTGACCATGCTTTCCTCTTTACAATACTACCTCTATTCTTTATGCAGATATAACACCTTGCCTATGCACTTTATGAGTCCATGTATGTCTCTGACAGTGTCCTCTTACTTATTCTTGAAAGAAAATAAAATCTAATGGTATTCCTTCCTGACACTCTGCATCAGCCACATTAACCTAATCTGACAATTTGATTTTTGGTGTGTCTCATAACATGTAATGTCAATTGGCCCATTCTGTCCTACAATGCTATTGTGATTTGTTGTGATGTTATAGTGAGCACATATAAACATTTGTTTAGCAACAAACAACGAGTAACAATACCAAACTTTTTTAGAAAAAATGCATTATTTCCGCATGCTTTAAAATAATTAAAATAACAAGTTATTTTGATATTTATATGTTATAATTAAATTGACCTGCCTACCCTTAATACAGGTTACCATGGCAGCCTTATCTCATTGATAATTTAAGATATAGCTATAATATTTTAGCATTGTATGTGTAATTACATAATCTACATTTTCTGAAAAAAATGAGAGGGATATGTGAAAAAATCACAAAATGAGAGCATTTTTATCAGAATATATGGATCGCCCCTTGTAAAAGCAAATCAAACTTTGCCTCATATTTGAGCAAGTGTGTAAGTAACGTGTTTCAATGATTTTTCTCTTTTAAATTAAATCTAAGTGGGCCTTTAAGTAAAGATAAAGATAACTATTGTTAGAAATATCAAATAAAGTATTTGTGCAATATTCTAATTGGTTTATGGATCTAATTGGAGGAGATCTTACCTGTTGTTGCTTCACCCGTTGACGTGACAACCAAACTTGGGACACTCCCTTGTTGCCATGGTAACGGCGATACGCTCGGTGAATGTAGGATATCGCTGCGATGGCACGTGCTGTTCGTCTCAGGGACATCGAAAGCGTGGAAGGGGTAGGACTTGGCACGTTCGTGATGTTGTCTGTGTGACGATGTGAGACTCTCACCTGAACCATCTTCGTAGCTATGTCGTGGACTAGGGCTGTGTCTGAAACATGATTGTTTAACCAGATAATATAACAGGTAATAGAAGAGAACGGTTTCATAACCAGATAATATAACAGGTAATAGAAGAGAACGGTTTCATAACCAGATAATATAACAGGTTATAGAAGAGAACGGTTTCATAACCAGATAATATAACAGGTAATAGAAGAGAACGGTTTCATAACCAGATAATATAACAGGTAATAGAAGAGAACGGTTTCATAACCAGATAATATAACAGGTAATAGAAGAGAACGGTTTCATAACCAGATAATATAACAGGTAATAGAAGAGAACGGTTTCATAACCAGATAATATAACAGGTAATAGAAGAGAACGGTTTCATAACCAGATAATATAACAGGTAATAGAAGAGAACGGTTTCATAACCAGATAATATAACAGGTAATAGAAGAGAACGGTTTCATAACCAGATAATATAACAGGTAATAGAAGAGAACGGTTTCATAACCAGATAATATAACAGGTAATAGAAGAGAACGGTTTCATAACCAGATAATATAACAGGTAATAGAAGAGAACGGTTTCATAACCAGATAATATAACAGGTAATAGAAGAGAACGGTTTCATAACCAGATAATATGACAGGTAATAGAAGAGAACAGTTTCATAACCAGATAATATAACAGGTAATAGAAGAGAACGGTTTCATAACCAGATAATATAACAGGTAATAGAAGAGAACGGTTTCATAACCAGATAATATAACAGGTAATAGAAGAGAACGGTTTCATAACCAGATAATATGACAGGTAATAGAAGAGAACGGTTTCATAACCAGATAATATAACAGGTAATAGAAGAGAACGGTTTCATAACCAGATAATATAACAGGTAATAGAAGAGAACGGTTTCATAACCAGATAATATAACAGGTAATAGAAGAGAACGGTTTCATAACCAGATAATATAACAGGTAATAGAAGAGAACGGTTTCATAACCAGATAATATAACAGGTAATAGAAGAGAACGGTTTCATAACCAGATAATATAACAGGTAATAGAAGAGAACGGTTTCATAACCAGATAACAGGTAATAGAAGAGAACGGTTTCATAACCAGATAACAGGTAATAGAAGAGAACGGTTTCATAACCAGATAATATAACAGGTAATAGAAGAGAACGGTTTCATAACCAGATAACAGGTAATAGAAGAGAACGGTTTCATAACCAGATAATATAACAGGTAATAGAAGAGAACGGTTTCATAACCAGATAATATAACAGGTAATAGAAGAGAACGGTTTCATAACCAGATAATATAGCAGGTAATAGAAGAGAACAGTTTCATAACCAGATAACAGGTAATAGAAGAGAACGGTTTCATAACCAGATAACAGGTAATAGAGGAGAACGGTTTCATAACCAGATAACAGGTAAGAAAAAGCCTCTATATTGTATAATGGTAGATTTTAGGAAAGCGTTTGATTATGTCAACAGGACAGCACTTCTTTATAAATTATGTAAATCAGGGATACATCCAAGTTCAAAAATGTTTAAAATTATTGATAGCATGTATAAAAAATCGAAATCATGTCTCAAACTTAAAGATGGCATTACTCCAACGTACAATACTGGAATTGGCGTTATGCAGGGCTCTGTTCTCAGTACATATCTTTTCAACCATTTTTTGGATGACTTGAAAGATTTTCTTCCCTCAGAACATGGTATAGAGTTTGAAAGTGTTTCTTTAAACCATCTACTTTGGGCTGATGACTTAGTATTAATAGCTAGCTCTAAATCTGGGGCACAATCTATGCTAGACTCTCTCTTTGATTTTTGCAGAAACTATCATCTTGTTGTCAACACTGTTAAAACAAAGGCTATTATTTTTAACTCTAAATCAGATGAAACTTTTAAATTCAATAATGAAGTGATTGCATGTGTAGAAGACTACAAATACCTAGGGTGTATCTTCAACAGTAAAAATAATTTTGATAAACAAATATGCTATCTTAAAGAACAATCTAGAAAAGCTTTATTCAAAATAAAGCAACAATATCACAAGTTTAATGACATTCCCATATCAGTTGCCTTACATTTATTTGATTCACTTGTCCAACCAATTTTGATGTATGGTTCAGAAATATGGTCAAGTAAAAAACATATTAAGTCACTGGAAACTATTCACCTGTCCTTTTTAAAAAGCATTCTTGGTGTGAAAACATCAACTGCAACCCTAGCAGTCTATGGAGAGCTGGGTCGTTTCCCCCTTAGTTTGTGCTTTGATATTAATCTTATTAAATATTGGATACGGCTTATACAACTTTGTCCAGATAACCTCCTTTATAAAGCATATCTATATGACTATGAAATGTACAGTTTAGGATTTAAAAATACTTGGTCAAGTAAGGTTCATAATATTTTAAAAGATTGTAATCTTGAAAGCACTTGGAATGAACAAGTTGTTGATGATGACTATGTATTCAAAAAGAATCTAACTGAAACATTGCACCAAAATTATAAGGAGAAATGGAAGTGTGATTCACAGTTATACCCAGTTTTAAGAACATACATTAAATTCAAAACAATTTTCGAAAGAGAACAATATTTAAGCCTTCAAAACAAAAATCACAGGCAATCAATTTCACAACTGAGATTAAGTTCACATAAATTACAAATAGAACTGGGTAGACATGTAAAACCACGGCCAAAACCTGAGTATGAAAGATTGTGTAACTTTTGTGGGGAAATAGAAAATGAGGTTCATTTCATGATTAAATGCCAAATACATAGAGAAAATAGAAGAATATTGTTTGACAACATCTCTAGCAAAATTAATGTTGATCAACATGATCCTGAAAATACATTCATTATGTTAATTTCTTCAAAAGATAAATATGTGCAAAAGCAAGTTGGAAGTTTTATTACAAAATCATTCAAAAACTTAAACTTGCCTGGGGATTAACATTTTGGATGCATCACACCTAAAGTATATTATAACATATGTAAATAACAAGTTTTTTTGTATAAATTGTATATATTAGTGTAGTGTAGTGTAGTGTAGTTTTGTAAAATTTCATTTTGTAATGACTAATATGTCAGGTCATGACATCTAAAGAGTCAATAAAAGATATATATAATAGAAGAGAACAGTTTCATAACCAGATAACAGGTAATAGAAGAGAACGGTTTCATAACCAGATAACAGGTAATAGAAGAGAACGGTTTCATAACCAGATAATATAACAGGTAATAGAAGAGAACGGTTTCATAACCAGATAATATAGCAGGTAATAGAAGAGAACAGTTTCATAACCAGATAACAGGTAATAGAAGAGAACGGTTTCATAACCACATAACAGGTAATAGAAGAGAACAGTTTCATAACCAGATAACAGGTAATAGAAGAGAACGGTTTCATAACCAGATAACAGGTAATAGAAGAGAACGGTTTCATAACCAGATAACAGGTAATAGAGGAGAACAGCTATGCACCTCCTTTAAAAGGAAAAGATATAATGGATTTTTATGTTATAAGATAAAACAATAATACGCTTTCATCGACGTCAGATGCTTCATGCGTTGATAATATTGGTGCTTTGAGCTGTATTCATATCAAGATCAACTATGACATCTCATTTCTCCTCTCAGCTATGAAAGGCTGTTATAAGTGAAACAAAAAGATGCGATGAGTATCACAATGGTGTTTTCAGTATGAAGCAATAATGTAGAAATTGCATATAGTTCGACGTGTACTCATATACGGGAATCCATCTTCCTAAACATCAGCTCATTGTTCACTTCACTACTATGTTGTACAAAATTACAGGGAACAATACATGGACATTTTTGCAATTTTTATAATCAAGTCCGCATTGTCATAAAAGTTCTGCATAAATCTATTCAATTCACTGTTCTAATATAAATTAATAGATTTGATAAATATATTTGCGATATTTATTTCTTTTAGAGCTGAAGGAAAATGTAGCACTAAGCTCAGAATAATATTTTAACTATAGCTAGATAAATTGCCTTGACTAAGATACAATCGCATAAAGGTTATATCTATTGTTCTAAAATCCTCAAAAGTATCTGCCAATCGAAGTTTCCGATTGAAATAACCTAGTTGGCAAATGATAATATCTTCTTTGTATAAAATATTGTAAGGTCTTATCAATCATACACTATAAAAACAGATAAATGACATTAGTGTTACTGTACGGACAGACAGACGGAGTGACGGTGGGTTTGGTGAACGGACTGACTTGACTAAAGGGCAGATGGCTTTACTTAAAAAATGCCTACTTTACATTATGTCTGTATTTGCATAAAATATGGATAGAACTTGATATTTTATTGCAAACCATGTATAATTGAGAACCCTGTTAATGTAATACACTCTGTAGTTTGTAGAAAGTTTATACCCACATTATATATGTATTTGCATAAGATATGGATGAAATATTTTATTGAAGAACATGTATAATTGAGAACCCTGTAAATGTAATACACTCTGTAGTATGTACAAAGTTTATACCCAGAACAAGTAAGACACAATATAGAAACAAGATACCACGTGCATCTAAGACACCATCACCATGAACAGCTGTTATAAAGCCCAACATACATCAATTGGGCAGAATCCCACTTGCCCTATCCAGCCCCATCGAGTCCCTTGATGTCCCATGGAATCTCGGTAACGTTGCCCCATGTAGTCCTATCGAGCCCCATCGTACCTCATCAAGTCCCATAGCCCCAATGAGTCAAAATCTCACTTGCCCCATCGAGTCCTATCAAGCCCCATCGAGTCCCACGATCGTTGCCCATGTATACCCATCAAACATTGCACCTCCGTGCCTCATGAAGTCCAACGGGAATGCTGTTATTTAGTTTGGAAGGCTTTGCCGCGGCTATTTTGATCCAAAACACCATATGGTCAAAAGTCCGACGAAGCACAATGGACAGAATAAACATTTTCATTCTCGATTGCGATTCCAGGTACTTTGCCCCATCTTGCCCTATCGAGTCCAACGA